GTTTTCATCCAAGAGAATGTGGGATTGGTCTATTATCGTCTACAAAAGTTTTTAATATACGCTAGTGTTATTGCCATCTCATTTCACGCTCTTCCAAATTAAATAACACTCTTCTTCCTCAATAGTTTTATAAGACATCCGCCATCTTGGTACTTTTATCGATACCATGATGCACTTCGCCAAAACACATCATGACGTCATTAGATGAACAGACSACTGGAAAAGGCTTTGATTAATTGGATCACTTATGCTGTGTTCGGGATAACATAACAGCAGTTGGGATCATAACAATTTTGAGGAATCTGGGATCAATAGATACAATCGCTCGACCTTACGGCCTCGATTACGCCGCTTCGCGCCGACAAAAACAATAACGAAGAGAGAAAATATCAAACMTCTGGAACCAGGGTAATCAAAACACTGCACAGCCGAAAATCACCGTGGTTAATAAAYATGGAATACAATGATTAATCGATTCAGCATTTTATACATTAATACGACAACCTATTTTAACGTCCGTTAGGTGTAAATGCTATTCGTACATACCACAGAGTTCGTGACCCATTGCAATGTATAGATAACCTTTATCACCAAACTGTGTTCCCCACGAATTCCTGACAATCCAGTAAGGTACCACGCCTAGTAAAATAGTCATGACATCAGAGATGTACTGTATGGGGTAAGGGTTCAGTGTATTTTTCCAATCAGGAATCAGGATTTCAGTTTGGGGCTATGCGATCGGGATCAAAGCTGAATAATTGCTCAATTTTCAGGGGAATCAGGGACCAAACAAACAAACAAAAAAAATCAAACCAAAACAAAACAAAAGCAGAGTAGATCTGAGCAAAACGAAAAAAAAAAAACAACAACAACAACAAACAAATTTGGAAAACATTTGAGCACGTGTTTTGCGCTCTAATGCCATACCTCTAGTATCATATCCAACTATTTGCACTGCGTGATTTATTTCCAAACCACTGCAATGATGTTGAATAATTCCACCTTAAAGAATAAATCATTGTCGTAAAGCTAAATTAGTTAATGATTTTMATTTGGATGCCATCGCTTTCCGGAGCTTCAAAGGTTACTATATTTAGCAAAACAAGAGGGAATCAAAATCACTTCAGCCATTGTTGAAATGTGGGAAGCTTATGGGGACCGTTTACACAACCATAAGTTGACAACGAAAGAAAAGAAAGAAATAAGGTGATCCTGTGCGATGGAAGTATATGGCAAATGGCATAAGGCAAACCATAATACAATCAAAATATGTCTTCATCATTTCAATCCCTTAAACTATTGATTTTTTATTAGAACTGAGATCTTACAAATACCAGTCCGTTGTAGCTTGCGCCTTCGGCCTGGACACAGTAATGATAAAAAACACATTAACCCTTTCTCTATCAATTATGGTTGAATTGTTCTTACTTATGTAGTCGTGCCACATAGTTGCATCAACGTTAACAGCAACTGTACCATTGAAGGCAATGATAGACTTCAGCTTGGTCTTCTCATCAATACTAGGAGGGAATTCATTATAAAATACAGTAACTGATGCTGATGAATGCGTAAACATCTCGTTTTCGTACGACAAGACGAAGTTTGGTGACTTCCATGTGTTTTTCGTGCCCAAGCCATGCCGGAAGACTGTAACTGCGATGTTTTCACGACTAAGCTTATTTATGTTAGCAAGCTTCATTTTTTGTCCCGCTTAAGTATTCTTATGACCTTTTATTCTACATGGCGAGTTTCCTTAACCGTTCCGCGTGCCCTGTTCATGTAGTTATCGCGCCTACGGTAAGTGCAATGAGTAAAAGTTAGCGCTTTCAGAAATGTCCCTGTACGTAAGTACATTCGATCAGTGCTCTTTTAAAAGCTCGCTTAAATTAGGAACAGAAAATACCAATTGCCATGCATATGCCTAGTGGGATTTTTAAAATCGCCCTCGCATCTCGAAAATCTTCTATTCACTACTGGGATCTTTTCTTACTTAAATATGGAGCATGGAAACTTGATTGGAACTCCAGATGAGCTATGTCTAGAAAAAATAAATAAAACAATATATATTCAGTAAATAATCAAAGTACAACGCGCTCATAGGCCTAGAACTTCAGTTTTAAACAATTCTTCGTTTTCACAGCCGTCAMAGCGGCCATCTTGGATAAGCTTCAACAAAGAGGTCTCATTAGTATATGAGTGTTGTCAAAGCAAAAAGGCCCTAAAGAACACGCCCGCGACCAGTGGTCCCTAGCGTAGAGACTCGACAGCAAAAGGGACCTTAGCAGCTTTAAAAGTACCTTTTACAATAACATCGCTCAAGTAGGCTAGCATAAAAAAAAGACAACAAAACGACATCCGTGCAGCGCAGTATTTTGGAAGCCAATCTACGTAGAAAATGCGCGTTTTATCCGCCGCACTGACGATTTGATTTACTCTCTATTGCAGGGTTCTGGACTCCAAATTAATAGCCACCGTCACGGCTGACGTCATGATCAGGTGTTCTCGATGACTGCCGGCTTGGTTGTGCTAATGTGAAAGGAGAGATGGCAGATCGGCGCGCGTCTGAGTTGTCCCGTCACTCGCAAAGAGGTAAGCCTAGGGTTAGGTTTACGGCATATCAGCAAGACGTCAGAGCGCTTGTGCTGCAATGTATATATAGTAGCAAGACTACATGAGTGTTGTCAAAGCAAAAAGGCCCTAAAGAACACGCCCGCGACCAGTGGTCCCTAGCGTAGAGTCTCGAGAGCAAAAGGGACCTTAGCAGCTTAAGTACCTTTTACAATAACATCGCTCATATATCTATTGTTCATTCATCCAACATGGCCGCCGTTCTTTTGTCTCAGTTTTCAATCTCGTACGGGAATAATTGAAAACAAGCAATTTACGAAACATTGAGTGTTCAATATTCACTTAAGTTAAGAGGAAAAACATACTTAAGAGACTCATCACATGTTGTTTCTTTGTCTTCATATGGACATTCAGATTCAGGRGCAAGAGTATAGTGTATAACCTAGAATTGAAAATTATACAAACTATATAAAACCCTTGAAAATCAGTGGTAATCGATGAAATATCTCTCACAGTCATTAGTATTTACAAGTGTACAGATCTAGAAATTTGCCCAGGTGTGTCCTTATAGTTTGTTAAGGCCGAATTAGACGGCACAACGTTTTCTTACAACCATCGCATGCAGACTGTGCAAGTCATCCTTAAAACATGGCTACAACTGTTGTAGTGATTCTAAATAAAATAAGGAAAGGGAAAGTCCTTCAACGATCACTTTCCAAACATTCGAAAAATTAAACATCACTTTAATAACGTTATCTTAGATTATAAATAGTCTTTGAAGCCTTTTTTTTTTGGGGGGGGGGGGGGGAATTTAAAAATGAGGCCTCCGCAGCTTTGATTTCTTTTTTGTTTGCGCTTAGAAAAAGTTATATAAGCGCTTTATAAGCTTAGATTATTATTCATTATTATTATTATTGACAAGGCAGTCTATAGCAAAGTACATGTAAATCTCAGGACTTTGTATGGCGTTAAAACAAAACATACCGTGTGGTTTGCTGTTCGACCTGACACTAGCCACTTTAGTGCATCGTATGTATTACCGCCATTGCATCCCAACCCAGCCCCACAAGATACTAGTTCTTGCACACTAAGAGACTTCAAATCACCAGTCTTGATGGCCCATTGTGTCTCTACTACTTCCACAGCAGTGAACGCCCTGCGAAAGAAAATCTTAATCAATCTATCAATACCTCGGATAATCATTAAATTTCATTTTCTGTTATATGAACTTTTCATTCACTGCTTATCTGTTAACGTTGCGAACAAAACAACAGAGTTGATGTTAACCATTAAATTAAAATAATCAATAATGCAATTATTAATTAATCATTTGTTCAATCAACCAATCATTTTTCCAGTCATCCATCAATCATTTCATCAATAATTTCAAAATACAACTCAATTGACAATACATATATAATATTTCATTCAAATAATCAATGATTATCAGGAATAGAATCAAATATTTGATTGGTATCCCATGCCATCAATCATTGGAGTGATTTTCCCTCAAATGTAAAACAACAGAAATTAAGCAGCACACTTCACATGTCTCATAGTTTTCCTTTGTTCTTTATCGACTACAGTACCAACTAGAAAGACTGGACATAGTGGGCAAAAAAAAAAAAACACTCTAATCAACCATTCAATCAATCATTTTACAATAGGCAATGTGCAGTGATACCAACTTTTGCAAACAAAAACTAGGTAAAGCATTAGTTAAGTGCCTTAGCAAGATTGTTTTAGTGGTAAAGTGCTAAAAAGCAAGGAATTCAACTCCACCATACTTTCTTTCTCAAAATGGCATTAGTGCACATTATCAATTGATTAATATGTGATCGACTCAATATCTAAATCACTARCTGATTAGCAATCCATTCAGATATTCAGTTACCAACTTACCAACAACTTCCACACTTGATTTCACARATCCAGTCAACAATGGCAAAATTTCATGTGAAAATGACATAACATCAGTATGTGGGTTTTAAAAAGTTGTTCAAGGAAATTGCATTAATTAATGAATGAGGCATGAAGCACATAAAAATATATAATTATTAATAAAATGATCCATTGCATGATATAAATAATTAGTTTCAGTTAACTCAATTAGTTCTACGACTATATTGATGTACTAAATATACAACGACATCTTTTACCCAGAYCTGAATAAATCAAAGTATAATCTATGAGAGAACTTGCAGAAATTTTATCTGTAAAAGAACGTCATGCAATGCAGAACTTATAAATATAGACAGTATTAATTAGCATGTAAAATTATATCAATATTATAATTTGCAGTTTTTCATGTTAATGCTATGATTAAAAATTTATAATACTTGTAATGATTCCTCATTATCAATTCAGTTTTCACTGAATGCATGATGAACCGATATGAAGTAACAAGTGATACTCTATGATTTAGATATAAATACCATACAGATAAACCATTTTTTTTTTTCAGTACCTTGCCCTGGTTCTTTATTGATGTCACCCTACCATGCTCATGCCTTTTTGAGAAAAAAGAGGGGGAAAGATAAGTTAATTAAACTATGAGAACATTGCATTTTATTTAAGAAGCAGTTCTGTGGAAAAGTAAACCAAAAGCGCCTCTTTTAAGGCAATTATTTACCAATTCCAGTGAGCAGGCATTTCCTTCTCGAGAATATCATTGCATGATTGTAACAATTTTGGTTGTTGTATGTTGCTCGTGAACAGTCCATGACCAGATCTGATACCACCTCTTCTTAGAAACTCTATAGAAAAGAAATACAGTCAAAAGTGTATACAACTGGCTGCTCTTGTCTTACTCTAGAATATCAATTTATATATGAACTACTTGATCCTGCCAAGGCAGCCCAGGCTGGACATCTGTCAGCATTACTACAAATAATAATAATATAATTACAAAAAAAAATGAAATTAGGTTTTCCTACCTTGAGTTGAACTTATTTCTGTTCCTTGTGTGTAATTATTTGGGCTTAATTGGAGTTGTTTTAGATAGTTTTGAAGAAAATTTACARAGATTGCAAAAACCTTCTAAAATAAAAACAACTCCAATCAAGTCCAAATTACACACAAGGAACAGAAATAAGTTTAACTCAAGTTTAGGAAAACTATATTTCAAATATTCTTTTTTATATTTATATTATTTAATTATATTATTATTTGTAGTAATACAGCCCGATCACCAGCTTGGACTTCATGTGGTTCTGCGGGTGTTGAAATTTCTTCAAAGCATGATGATTAGCCACTTACCTTCAGTTAAATGAAAAACCTATGTCATTTTTGCAAATTCATCCAGTCTATCATGTACCTTTAAATTCCTGTGGTGTCAAATCAGAAAACATATTGATGCCATAGACAGCAGTTCCACCAAGTTTCTTTTCTTTGTCTTTCAACTTGCKCTGTCTAAGCAAACTTTCCTATAAATAAAAAATTAAAACTTTACCAAATTATTGGGTGGTCCAGGTTCCGCCGTCCATGTTAACAATCATTTGAATGAATTTTGTAAAATCAAGCACTTTTAGTGGTCATTCAGAATATATTTCAGATAAGTAAAACCTTCATTTATTATCGACTATCTTATGTTGTGGATAATAGACAACCTCTCGAAATAATTAAGTCATAATTTCATTACCATATCGTATTCTTATTGTTCATTGTCACGAAATGTCTAAAATATTGATACAAAGGTTTTGGCTTTCCTAGTTTATTGGGTATCAGTGTGTTTCACTTTACCTTAAAAATATATTTTCGCTTGATGAATTCTTTGGGATCATTTATGTATGATCTATTGTATCGGACGACAAATTGTTTAAATTGCGTATGCAGTTTCGCTTCCTCTGATTCGGTTTCTGAACTGTTAATTGCTCCAAATTTCACATACTCCGCYCTTAATACCAACCCTGGATGCTGTATTATAACTTGAACAATAAAAAAGATCAAATAATGCCAATCCATGGCTAGAAATAACACGGARACGTCTCGATCAAACCATCGCAGATATATCAATTTTACCAGGCGTTACTTTCGTTTCTTTCGTCACTAGTCGTTTGCGAATAAAATACACAGGTAGTCCACGTCTTTTCAAATGCAATAAAACAATAAAAAAATGCTTGTTTAAAAGTACGAGTGTTCCCCTTTGAAAGAATARAATAAYAAGAAGCTACAAATGTCAACCATACAATTAAGGATGGGATATGTCCCACTTAAGCAGAACAAACTGACATTTTGGTTCGCTTCCTCGCYGTTGTCTTTCTTTTCGTATCTTTTCATATTGACGTAATATATCCGCCAATTCCTTGGATTTGCTGCTCATGATGTCTATATATGGTGATGCATATCTTTAATAATCCCCTATCATTTGCGTTATAAAAAAATACAAATATGACGTCGAATGACGTCATGTGACAATTTTGCATGATGGGACCCTCCCACAACTCCCCACAACCCCCAAATCCCGGATACGCCCCGAGATCCAAAGATCTAATGCTTGTAAAAATAGCCGCGATGATTTCATGCTTCTTCTTTAAAACTTCAGTGAGCCGAAATGTTTCAGTCTTAACAGCGGCTTCAGTAAATGTCAATCAAAAGAGGACCATGAGACAATAGTCTTGAGCTATCGAGCTATGATAACAGGATCCGACAGGATAATATAACCATCTGAAGGAAGCAAACATTATGCTTAAACAATTCAAAAAGAAATTAAAACAATTCAAATTACACTGTAATGCCGAAGGTTTTCTTCTTTTATGACTGATGTGGAAGACATCGATTTTTTCGAAAAACCTGCACGAACGCATTCCGCATTTCTTGTATTCTCCAGAAGTAGATGACTGGATTCACCGCACTGTTTATCAACCATAATGTATTGGTTAAATACAAWACAATGCTAAACAAGGGCGATACTTCGGTTTTTACAGAACGTAGGCTGCTACTCGCAATAGCAACGGGAATATAACAAACTACAAACGTACCMATGATATAGTACATTGTGTTCACAGTCTTCCTGTACCGTGGAAGGCTGAAGCTGTTCTGTACTGCTTGCTCTTGTGCATGGATAKTTTCTGAATGTTTGCTTACAGCTCGAGAAATTATCACCATCAGTACTATATTTGATAAAAAGAGAGCTCCAAAGCAAAAACCAATGATTATTTTGCCAATATTAGACCKTCCACCAAAAATGCYAAATGAGCTTAAAATGACAATAACGATTACAACTATACACGATCGCTTGTTTGTAACAACTGYATGATACCTTAGATGAAAGTGAAGAGCAAGGAATCGGTCGATAGTGATGGCAGTAATAGCCAGCAAAGATGAAGCCCCTAATACCAAT